TATATGTATATATATATATACATATATATATATATATATATATGGCTGTGGGGCCGCTGCATGCGCCCTCCTCTTTTAATAATGCTGCACCTGCAGGTATACCGAGATGTAAAATAATTAAAATTATTTAAATAATATCTTTATTAATATTTTTATTAATTCCCTAGCCGTCTACAGCCTATCAGCAGTTGGAGTAAAGCATGCAACAAATGCTTCTGCTGTCTGTACAGGCAACAATTCAAATATATATACATATATATATATATATATGTATATATATATATATATGTATATATATATATATGTATATGTATATGTATATGTATATGTATATGTATACGCATATATATATATGGGTGTAGAAGTCGATATAAACTCAGCAGCAAATATATTTTTTCTTAAAGTAGAAATGCATGCATGCATCTATCAGCAGAAGAAGAGCGACTCTATTATCTAAGCTGAGCTGCAGGCTTCAGTTTTCGTTCTTTATAGGGTTAATCAATAAGGAGTATAAAGGCAAACAAAAAGAAAACATCTGCATTTTATTTTAATTGAATTTAAAAGAAATATAAGGAGAAGAAAACTCACAGTTATTATCGCTGATATATCTGAAGCTGTTTGTATATATATATAATTAGAGCGATCTAAAGTATATGTATATAATAATCAAGAGTAAAGGCGTACACTGTATAATTCATATATAAAATAAATGAACAATTACGTATATCTTAAATACTAACTTCATATATCTTCCGTAGCTGCAGCAGCAAAGCTGTGCGTGCAGAGGCAACATAATTTTTTCTATGATAGAAAAGTTAATAATATTAAGGAAGACTTCGTTAATAACATTAAAATATAATACAAATTAATTAATTTAATTTATTTTCTTCGTTTTATTATATATAAATGCATGCAGCTCTTCACTTTCGACTGTACAACTTCGGGGCCGCCCACCGCCAGCCCCTATTCATGTACGATTGCTGTAAGGTGTGTTTTAGGTGTATAGACAGCTTAAAAATAATTGAATAAAAGAATAAAAGAATATTGAGAATTAATTTTATTTAATATTTAAACAAAAAAGAAATACAAGAAAACGCAGACGCAACAAATACTCACCTCTGCCTCTCCTTCTGCTGCAGACATCTCTACACTTGATTTGCTGCTTGCAGCATATTTTCTTTATTCTTTTCTTTTTCTTTATATTTTCTGCCTTTATAAAATCAAAAGAATATCAATAAACCCTTTACTACCTGCAAATATACAGACAACCACACAGAGGGCCTCAGTGCGGCCGACGCTCAACGGTATACTGTATGCAGCAGCAGCAGCAGCAGCCGCAACAGCAGAATCTGCAGCAGCAGCAGCAGCAGCAGAATCAGCAGCAGCAGAAGCAGCAAGGCTTACTTCTCTAGACTGCTGCAGCACACAACAGATCCCTGTTGACTGCGCCCATTGTCTTCTGTCGGCCGTACACATACGAAGGCTGCAGCATCTTACTCCAGCAGCAGCAGCAGCAGCAGCAGCAGCACAAGCAGCAGCACAAGCAGCAGCAGTTGTTGCAGCGGCGGAAGGCCACATGCAGCAGCAGCAGGGCTTCGTCTGCAGAAGCAGCCGCAGCAAGACATCGCATGCAGCAGCAGCAGCAGCTGCAGCAACAGCAGCACTACTAGGAGCCGTGAGGGCTTCTTACAATCTTTGACGTGAAAGCTAACACGCATTTGCTGCTGCAGCAGCAGCTGCTGCAGCAGCAGGTGTCGTAGCAGCAGCCAGGCATTGTGTTGTAGCAGCGAGATAGCATCAGCTGCTGCGTCTCTCGCACGGTACATCCCGGAGGACTGCTGCTGGCAGCAGCAGCAGCAGCAGCAGCAAAAGCAGCAGCAGCAGCTGCTGCTGCTGCTTTTGTTTGGGTTTGTTGGGCGTGCCCGCAGTGAGGGAAGCCGCTCACAGCAGCAAACAACTGTGATTGACAGCAGCAAAATACAGCAAAAGCAGCACTATCAGCAGCAGCACCACCACCACTACCAGCAGCAGCAGCAGCAGCAGCAGCAGAATGTCTGTGAAGCTGAGGGAGTTTATTCGCCAAGTGCGGGCTGCACGTACAGCAGCGGAGGAGAGGGCAGTCGTAGCGAGAGAATGCGCTCGCATCAGAACCAACTTCAAGGTGGGCAGCTTGTTGCTGCTGCTGCTGCTGCTGCTGGTTTTGCTGCTGCTGCTGGTTTTGCTGCTGCTGCTTCTGCTGCTTCTGCTTCTGCTGCTTCTGCTTCTGCTGCTGCTACTTCTGCTGCTACTCTTCCGCTGCTGCTTGTGCTGCTTCTGCTGCTTGTGCTGCTTCTTCTGCTTTTGCTGCTTCTTCTGCTTTTGCTGCTTCTCCTGCTGCTTCTGCTGCTTCTGCAACTACAACTTCTGCTGCTCCTTCTACTGCTGCTGCTTCATCTGCTACTTCTGTTGCTCCATCTGCTGCTTCTGCTACTGCTGCTGCTGCTTCTGCTACTCCTACTGCTACTTCTGCTGCTACTTCTGCAACTTCTGCTGCTACTTCTGCTGCTGCTGCTGCTGCTGCTGCTGCTAGGAGGGGGAGAGCCGACACCGCCACCGGGACGTGGCGAAGGTTTTGTTTATTTCGATGCTGGGATATCCAACCCACTTCGCTCAAGTTGAATGCATCAAACTCCTAGCCAGCAACAGGCACGCCAAACCCTAAACCCTAAACCCTAAACCCTAAACCCTAAACCCTAAATCATAAGCCCTAAACTACCCTTAACTACCCTACATCATAAACCCTAAATCCTAAATCGTAAACCCTAAATCATAGACCCTAAATCATAGACCCTAAATCATAGACCCTAAACCCTAAATAATTAACCCTAAACCCTAAATCGTAAACCCTAAATCATGAAGCCTAAACCCTAAATTCTAAATCCTAAAAAGCCCTAAATCGTAAACCCTAAACCCTAAACCCTCTTCGTCTGATCTCTATTAAACGATGCCTCTCAAGCGGGTGCTCTTCTGTTACCTAAACCCTAAACCCTAAACCCTCTTCAACCCCCTGAGGCGCGTGTTTGTCCGTGTCTTCGTCTTTGTTTTTATTTGTTTTTATTTGTTTTTATTTGTTTAGAGACGGAGAAGGAAAATGCATGCATCCATTTGTTTTATTTTTTACTTTTTTTATCTCTTATCCTTTATCTTTTATCTTTTATCTTTTATCTGTCTGTTATCTTTTTGTATATCTATTTTTGTTTATTTTTGTTTGCTTTATTTATTAAATTTGCGATGTCTGTCTCGTCTGTTAATTATTTAATTATTTAATTATTGATTGGTTTATATATTTATATATATATATATTTATTTATTTATATGATATGCCTGCATATAAAAAAGCATATATATACATATGTATATATATATATATATTCTTTTTTTGTTTTGTTTGTATGTATATTATGTTTATAGATTTGCAGAGAAGCGCATAGGTTATTTAGGACTAACATTACTGCTAGATGGGTCAAGCGAAGTAGCAATGCTAACAACGAATTCGTTAAAGCAAGATTTACAGCATACAAATCAGTATATAAATAGCTTAGCTCTAGGAGCGTTAACAAACGGGTCCCCTATAGAGGTTGTTAGATCTCTTATACCTGAAGTTGAAGGTCTTCTACGATGCAGCAATCCCTTTATTAGAAAGAAAGCAGCACTTGCTGCAGCAGCAAGCGTTAGAAGGATAGGTGCTGAAGCTGCTGCTGCTCTGCTGCCTACCTTGCCGCTGCTCTGTAACGATAAGTCGCACGGAGTGCTGCTTGGTGCATGTGCTCTTATCTTCGCTATGTATGATACGCAGCAGCAGCATGTCCTGCAGCAGCAGCAGCTGCAGCAGCTGCTGCCGCCACTTGCTAAAGCACTTAGAGCATGCAGCAGCCCCACACATCCACAGACAGCAGAATATGATATCGCTGGGATCGTCGATCCCCTCCTCCAAGCCAGACTTCTTAGAGCAATTGCCTTACTCGCACAAGTATATAAAACTGCTGCTTATGCTGCTGCTCTTGCTTATGTTGCTGCTGCCCTTGCTGCTTATGCTGCTGCTGCTGCTTATGTTGCTGCTGCTGCTGCTTATGTTGCTGTTTTTGTTCCTGATGCTTATGTTGCTGCTTATGTTGGTGCTGCTGCTGATGCTTATGCTGCATCATTTGCTGCTGCTGCATCACCTGCTGCTGCTGCTGCATGATTTGCTGCTGCATCATAATCTGCTGTTGCATCATCTGCTGCTGCCTCATCATCTGCTTCTGCTGTTGCTGCTTTTGCTGGTGCTGCTGCATCATCTGCTGCTTCTCCTTTTGCTGCTGCTGCTGGATCATTTGCTGCAGTTTTTTTTGCTGCTGCATCTATTACTATTATTACTATTACTATTATTATTATTATTATTATTATTATTATTATTATTATTATTATTGTGTGTGCACAGGAAGACATAGGTCTGACTGCAGGTATAACAGAGTTGCTGGCTCACATTGCAACCAACACAGATGCTTCA